CCTGGCTCGCCCCGCCTCCCCTCCGGCCAGCTGGGTCAGGAGGGGTTCCAGAGCCCAGAATCCCCCACCCCTTTAGAGTTCCATAGGAGGGACTCCATCTCCCAGAATCCCCACCTGCGGCGTGGAAGGAGAGCTCTCGGAATCTCTTTGAGACCCCAGGCAGGAGGGCGAGGCCTCCCAGCATCCCCCCCCAACTGGGTGCCCGGGGGGGGGATTCTGGGAGTTGTAGTTCCCCAGGGAACTATGCCAAACTCTGGAGGGACAAAACTGGGTTGCTTTTGTTTACCATTTCTCAGCCTGGCCTCTTGTTTGATCTTGTCCAGTATTTATATACTCATGGTTTTAAGCTTTAAAGTATTGTCTTTTAATGACGTGAGCCACCTTTTTAAGAAGAAAAAAACCAGAGTAAATAAATATTTTTAGGTCAATAAAAACCAGTGTCTAGAATTTGGGAAAGTTACTTTCTGCTGAATTATAGTCACAGAAATAAAAACTTGCCTATTAGTGACCTCTGGGGGTGAACACAGGGCGTCCCAAGCTGTTTTATTTAACCAGGGCCCTCCTTGTCTCCACCTCCAGCCTTCCCTGCCCTGAGTTCAAGGCACCGGCCACTGGATGCTCACAATGATCTTGTGGTGTAGGTTAGGTTGGGGGAGAACCGCTGGCCCCATGGATTTCACAGCTCGGCAGGGACCGCAACCTCGCCCTCCCCAAATCCCCAGCACGCTACGTTTTCTGCTTTGTGGAGGCTGGACTAGATGACCACACGGATCCCACAACAGGACAGGGATCTCCCTGGCCTTGTGTGTGTGTGTGTTTGTGTTTTCGGGTCTTCCTTCCTTTGGGTCGGCTCCTTTTTCCTTTTCTTCGGGTGTGTGGAGGGGGGCGAAGTTTGACTTCTGTGTGTGTGTGTGGGGGGTGTTTTTCGGTCTTCCTTCCTTTGGATCGGCTTCTTTTTCCTTTTCTTCAGGTGTGTGGAGGGGGGCGAAGTTTGACTTGTGAAACCCCTTCCCCCCCCCCCCCCGCCTCCGGGTTGCGATGAATGGGAGCCATCTGCGGGAGCATAAATAAGCCCAAATCAAAACCAGGCCTCCTCGAACTGAAAGCGTCCACCCGTCGCCAGGAATTCGCACCATTTCAGTGAATCACAGAACCCGAGAGTCAGCAGATCAGCACGGAAAAGGCCATTTTTTAAAAAGGTCAAGCCACATTTTTATTATTTGATATATATATTTTTGTTCAATGCATTGCTTGCAAGCGCACGCCTGGACGTGAATTCGTCCAGAGAAGGTTTCCATCGAGTCAGTAGATCGGGAGCCCCTTTCGGCGTCAAGCCAGCTTCCCCGCCACCGTCTCCCGACCAGCCGGCGGAACTATTTATAAATCCTGAGTAAACCGATGGAGGTTTCCACCGAGGCTACCCCAAACGGAGGCTTATGGAGACGCAGGAATGTGCTTCAGCCTGCTGCTCACCCCCACACCCGGCCTTAGCAGCACTGCCGTGAAACCAACTTTTGCAGGATTTGCACCCTGGGCCTTTTCAATGAGCGCAGCCGCTCTCCCCTTTCGGTTTCCTTGTTCCCTCCTGGCCTTCCTAAACATCTCCCCCAAATAGCAGCCCCTTCCAGCTCTCCCCGCAATTATATCTTGTGGAGGACCTTTGTTCAAATGGATCATCAAGAGCCGTTGGCTTTACAAAAGACCTGCTCTGGGTAGAGATCAAGACTCCAAATAAGGATTGAGCCTCCGTGACATGGAACAAAGCTATGGAGGTTTTAATGCTTTACTTCGTGTATCAGGGGCCTGGGATTGCAATTCTTCATGGACGGAGAGGGGGGGAAAGTGGCCCATTTGTTCTGATGAACACGGCGGGCGTCGGGGGCCCCCCCCAAGCCCTTCTAAAAGCCACTTCAGAGCTCAAAACGGTGTATTCAAAGACATGCG